GGGCTGCGTGCTTGCTGAGGGTACTATGATCGCGTGCAGGGCTGCGTGCTTGCCGACGTGCTGCCGGCTGCCTCGGGCCTGGGCGTCCAGGCTCTGGCACCGCGGATCTGTCCTCCTTGCCCAAGAGCACAGGAGCTGCCAGGGAAGTGGGTGCGGCGGGCCGGTGCAGAACCCTAGAAGAGGGTTCAGGGGTCAGGCTCTGTGGCCTGCAGTCAGTCACGCTGCAGTCCCCGGGGTCGGCGTGGGACAGGAGAGCCCGACCGGACGGCCCGGTGGGTGCTGCCGTCGCCGCTGCAGGCGCTGTCCGTGGGGCGCCCTGGGCTGCCCCTACACCGAGAAGTAGGCGCTCGCACCGACAGTCACGACAGTGATGCTTACTTTACCGGACTCACTCTCCACACCTCCTGGTTACAGAGCAACATCGTTTTTACTGGATAGATTTTGTTTTTTAGTTCTAATGGGATGTGTTCTATGCCTTTTTTAAAGGTCCAAAATGAAATTTACTCCTAGCCATACTGTTAAGGGTTTTTATGTCCTTAAAATTTTCCACACACATGATACATAGGGTAAAAGGGAAGGGATGCTAGAAAGCTTGGGTTTGTGTTGGGTTCTGGAGCGAGGTCAGGTCAGGAATCGAGAGCTCCCGTACCAGGGCAAGGGCCCAGCTACTGTCAGCCACCCGAGAGGCCTGGGGGTGGTCGGGGCTCTGAGACACGGCCGTGTGGCCGAGGCGTGACTGTAGGCCTGGAGTGCACGCGGGGCAGCCCAGCACCGGGGGCGCTCCTGCAGGGACAGGGCCGTCCGTGGCCCTGCATGATACCGGTCTGGCCCTGGCTGTGGAGGCCTAGCAGGAGCCCTGCCAGATGGCGCCACGTTCCCAGATGGTTGGTGCCTTTCCTAGGCAGGTCAGTGGGAACAGAGGGAAGAAGCAGGGGTGGCGGTGTTGGCTCCAGCCCCAAGAGCAGTGCCTGGGAAGGTACGGAGCCCAGAGTGCCATTCCGTGGCAGTGAGCAGTGGCCGCTGCCCGGCCCCTGGAGCCTGAGCCCCCACACCTCTGTGCGCCCTGCCTGGGCTCTGCGTTGCCCGCCTGCCTTCTGAGGGTTCCTGCTCACGCGCGGAGCACGTGTGGCTTTTCCCTCCTGTGAAGTCAAGTTCCCTCCCTTCTGTAAAGCAGCCTGCGTAGCAAATGCATGGTCTCAGCTGGGCAGGAGCTGCATGTCCTTGGCAGCGTCCCCATCCGTGTCCCGGGGCCGTTCGGGTGAGGTGGTAGCAGGTACACCGGGGCTGCCCACTCCAAGCAGGGTGCCGAGCGTTGGCGCAGGAGTTCCCGGGCGGAGACTTGGGGATCTCCAGGTGATTCCTGGCGAGGGGACTGCGAGAGCAGGCAGCGCAGAGGAGTCAGCCTGGGGGAGGCCGCTGTGCCCAGAACCGGCCCCGCAGAGAATGAGGTGCTGCTCGCTCTGCCCTCCCACAGGCTGGCCTGCAGGCAGCAGCTAGGGCAGGGCCAGAAGTGAGGCGAGCGGGAGTGGAGTTGGTCAGCCGCCCAGGCTGGGAGGGAACATGTGTGGAGGCGCACGGGGCCGAGCATACGAGTGGCGACGCCTCGGCAAACCCTTCAGGCCTGTGTGCCGCCCCCAGCAGCCAGAGCAGGGACTGGCCCTGCAGTGACCGCGCAGAGCTGCCGGCCTCGAGGGCCTGGGTGCTCCTCCGTGGAAAAGCCCCAGGCTGCCCCTTGCCAGGGCACGCAGCGCCCCGCATGCTGCTTGGTGTGGAGTAGGAGGCCCTCGGGGACAGCTGGCGGCCCGGCTCCCAGCGCAGTTCTAGAGCGTAGTTCTCAGGGCCAAAAGCTGTCTGCCGGCCAGGCCACCCAGACAGCGTGCTGCCCGAGAGGCGGACAGGCGTTCTTGTGGGCAGAGTAGAGCGTGCACTGCTCCCTTGTGATAACCTCTTCTCCTTTGTCTTCACAGAGACTAATAGACAAGGCACGCGTAACCTGTGTCAAATGGGTGCCCGGCTCGGAAAGCCTTTTCCTAGTAGCCCATTCGAGTGGGAACATGTACTTGTATAATGTGGAGCACACTTGTGGCACCACAGCCCCCCACTACCAGCTCCTGAAGCAGGGAGAGAGCTTTGCCGTGCACACTTGCAAGAGCAAATCCACGAGGAACCCTCTCCTTAAGTGGACGGTGGGCGAGGGGGCCCTCAACGAGTTTGCTTTCTCCCCAGATGGCAAGTTCTTGGCGTGCGTGAGCCAGGACGGGTTTCTGCGGGTGTTCAACTTCGACTCCGTGGAGCTTCACGGTACGATGAAAAGCTACTTTGGGGGCTTGCTGTGTGTGTGCTGGAGCCCAGACGGCAAGTACATTGTGACAGGTGGAGAGGACGACTTGGTGACAGTCTGGTCCTTCGTCGACTGCCGAGTAATCGCGAGAGGCCACGGGCACAAGTCCTGGGTCAGTGTGGTGGCCTTCGATCCCTATACCACCAGCGTAGAAGAGAGCGACCCCATGGAGTTCAGCGGCAGTGACGAGGACTTCCAGGACCTGCTTCATTTCGGCAGAGACCGCGCCAACAGTGCGCAGTCGCGGCTGTCCAAGCGGAACTCCACCGACAGCCGCCCCGTCAGCGTGACCTACCGCTTCGGCTCGGTGGGCCAGGACACGCAGCTGTGCCTGTGGGACCTCACGGAGGACATCCTCTTCCCCCACCAGCCGCTCTCGAGGGCAAGGACACACACCAATGTCATGAATGCCACAAGTCCTCCCGCAGGGAGCAACGGGAACAGCGTCACGACGCCCGGGAACTCCGTGCCGCCGCCCCTGCCTCGGTCCAACAGCCTCCCCCACTCGGCTGTCTCGAACGCCGGCAGCAAGAGCAGCGTCATGGACGGGGCCGTCGCGTCCGGGGTCAGCAAGTTCGCGACCCTCTCACTGCACGACCGGAAGGAGAGGCACCACGAGAAAGACCACAAGCGGAACCACAGCATGGGGCACATTTCCAGCAAGAGCAGTGACAAACTGAATCTAGTTACAAAAACCAAAACGGACCCCGCCAAAACTCTGGGAACACCCTTGTGCCCTCGGATGGAAGATGTTCCCTTGTTAGAGCCGCTGATCTGTAAAAAGATAGCACACGAGAGACTGACTGTGTTAATTTTTCTTGAAGACTGTATAGTCACTGCTTGTCAGGAGGGATTTATTTGCACATGGGGAAGGCCTGGTAAAGTGGTAAGTTTTAACCCTTAATGCTGCACCAGATCTAGAACTTGAATAGGTAGTGATTTTTTTTCTCGCGGGAGGGGCGGGGTGTACAATGAATGTGAATGACACTTCTTATTCTTAATGTAAATCTAAATGCATCAGAGCCATAATTTTGGATACTGCATGCCATGTAATTCCGAATCATTTGATAATTCACCTTAGAGCATTTAAAAACTATATAATCAAACTAATTGCCAGCCGAGTCAGTCACCCTCCTGGGAGCCCGTAGAGCCCGAGGTAGCGTCCTGTGTCCGATCCTGCAGTTTGGGGAATCATGACCGTGGGGAACAATGACTTAACGCGCTAAACTTAAAATCGATGCTTTAACTGGAATATTTTTCTTAACTACTCGCCTAGAATATTGTACACCTGATCAGAGTGTATGTTCAGTACAGAAGGCCATTGTCATTTATAGTCCAATTTTTTATCTTAATCATAAAATGTTTAGGAATCTATGAAATTTAACTTTAGGAACAAAGCGTTGAGCAGGGTTGATGATATTATTTTTACATTGTTCTGGCAATCCACAGAAAGAGAAGAGCCTTAATTTTTAAAACCCATTTTAGTCATTTTATGACAATTAAAATTGTTTAATAAACATCTTTTTCCAAAGACGCAGTTTGCAGAACTTTGATTGAGACTCTGTCCCTGAACCCCGCGTGACTCAGAGCCGGCGGGGACAGCTGCGCCCAGGGGCCTGTGTGAGACCCGCTTGTCCACGCGCGTGGCTGACGTCCTCCTCCCAGCGGGGAAGGAGGTCCCCTTGTTCTGTAGTTTTTTGTCTCTGCTTTTGGGCCAGCAGGGCGGGCGCAGTGTGCCCAGGCTCCCGGGCGTCTGGTGGCCTCGGCCCGGGGCACAGGCCAGGGCCCCTCTGCTCTCCCGTGGGCGGCAGCGGCGAGGCGGTGGCCCTTGGGACCCCAGAGGCCTGGCGCGCGAGACCCCCGTGCAGGCGCCGCCGCCGCCCGGCCGCACTGCGTCTGCGGCGCTCAGGGCTGGCTGTCTTCCTCGTGGTGCTCCTCGAAGGCCAGTTCTGGCAGACGCGACGGGTCTTTGAGGGCTGTTTTGTGTCCAGATGAGAGTAGCTTGTTGACTCCATGAGCGTGGAGGGCTGCGTTCTGCTCCGCACGGCTCTGCGATGACGCGCTGTGGCCGTGGTCTCCGAGGCCGGCTGGCGTCGGGGCTGGGGTGCGGGGAGAGCTGGCGGCTCTGTGCGTCTCCAGGTGGTGCGTGAGCCGCGGCCCTCCTGGGAGCCACGCAGGGCCGGTCCCGTGCTGCGCCAGCCTTGCGCCCCAGCCCACGTCCCACCCTGCCCCTTAGTGCAGGTGGCTTCTGTCCCGGGTGACAGCCCTGGCGGTGCCACCGGTGAGCTGGGTGGCATGGCTTCTCCCCTCGTCCTGTGTTCACGTCCTCTACCTTGAAATGCAGCCCCTGTCCCTAGGGGAGCAAGGGGAGCCGAGGGAGGTGGCGGAGACGCCGTCCCGGGGCCGGTGCAGCTCTGGAGACAGATTGGGCGCCGGGTGGGGATGAGACCCTTGTGCAGCCTCCCGTAACTGTAGCTGCAGAAACCCGTCGGGTGCTCTGCGGCGCTGCGTGTGCAGTTTCAGCATCCAGGACTTGCGTCGGGCCCCGGCGGCAGCCAGGCCCAGGCAAGCAGTGTCTCTGGGGCATCCCCGTGCTGACGTGTCGCGCCTGGTGGGGAGCCACGGTCCCTTCCCACGTCCTTGTCATGGCGCCTGCAGCTGACTGTCCGGGTAAGGGGTTTCCTGGGGTTGGGAGGGCAGGGCAGTGTCGCACCCGCACAGCCTTGGGTTTGGGGCCTGGCATGGTCTGTCCTCTGGGCTCTGCTATCAATGCGGTGCTCGTCACGTCGGCCCAGAACCCGAGGGTCACCTGGGAGAGCTTCCTGCCCCTGGCCCCGGGGCCCCATGCGCCTGCCCTCTCCCGCCCTTTCTTTGACAGCACTGCAGGTGGGAGGACAGAGCACCACGGGTGGCTGGAGAGGAGCGCGCCAGCCTGGGAGGGCGGGCGGTGGTGCGGCCGGCCAGGTGTGCGCCGTGCTGCTGCCCGGAGCGCTGAGGGAAGGGTCCTTTGCCACCCGGCCCTGGCTTCCTCACTGCAGTTCTCCAGGTCTTCTGCCTTGAGTGCTACCACGAGCAGGGTTAGCCATCCTGAGCCAGCTCCGCAGCTGCACGCAGCTCTGGGCAAGGCACAGCTGTTAGGGCTCCAGCTGTGTCACGTGTGTCCCAAGCGCTCCTCCCACTGCTGCCTGCCCAGCTTCTTGCTCCCAGGGCAAGTGCACGGAGCGACCTTCTCTGCCCTTCTGACTTGGGCTGGGAAGCCCTGTCCCTTCAGCACGCAGGCAGCGGGCCGGAAGTGCACAGCTGGCCCGCAGCTTCCAAACTGACTCCACCAACAGTGACAGCCTGAGGACAGCTGCCCTGGGGCCCAGCCCCGAAGGGCGGGGAGACGAAGCAGCCAGCCTGAAGAGTCTTGTCCCAAAGGTGCCCAGGAATGCTGCAGGGCCAGGGTCTCTGCAGCTTCGCACGCAGTACACCCGGCCCTGGGCGGGAGTCAGCAACACCTGGGTCCCCGCTGGCAACCCAGCGGCCGTCTCTCCTCAAGTCCCCACACCCTGGGGTGCGTCCACCGGGGTCCGACCACCACCCCTCCGTTGTTTTGAGACAGTCTTATCAGGTTGCCCAGACTGTCCTCAAAATTGGGATCCTCCTGCCGCAGACTGCGAAGCAGCTGGGGTTATATGTGTGTGCCACCATGCCAGCTTGCATCTAGAAAGAAATTCTGAAGTAGTAAACGTGTGCCTAGATCAGGGAGACTGCACCTGTGTGCCAGGGCCCCCTCACCGCCTGCCCGGAGACGCTTCCTCCCAGCAAGCGGGCTCAGGGCGTGTGGAGGGCAGCCAAGGCGGGGGCCAGAGGTCCGGGAAGCTCTGTCTCAGGCTGTGCGCCCGGCTGGCCGTGCTGTGGGTGCGGGCGTGGCTGAATCAGGTGCACAAGGGTCCCCCGGGGGCGGGCGCAGCTGTTGGGGTGGCCTTCCTCAGCCTAGAAGATCACCAGGAGATGCCGGTCGCGATCACGAAGGGGACGGTGGTCATCTCCGTCCTGGAGCTCTGTGGAGCTCACCACAGGCCATTGGGACAGTGCTTTGCCTAGGTTAGCAAGGTGCTCGTCACAGTGCCCAGTACTGGGGGAGGGAAGACCCCAGCGTGGCAGAGCAGAGGTCCTGGCTCGCATGGCACAGCCCTGTGTCCTGCTGTCACCTCCGGGACGTGCCTCCCTCGCTGCACCTGCTACTCGCATGTCACCCTAAGGACAGCTAACCTCCTGCATTGTGCACGTGCACACCCGAGGTCGCTGACTGTTGGGTGTGCGGTCGGCGTAAAGCTTTGTGCATAATCATCTTCAGCAAAAGAAATGAATGTGTATTTCACATTTTCTCCTAATTTCTTGACAACCTGAGGAAGTGTCAAACAGAGCCTTCCTAACGTAAATACCAGTAAGTTAAGCTTGTAATGGTTGGAAGAACTAGTGGAGCTTAAATACCAGCATTGTTACTCCACCAGCATAAGAAAACCACGTGTTTCCCTGCTGTCCTTAGCTGTCCCTTGTCACTGTCACAGCGGAGACTCGTGTGGCACCCCAGCGTCCCTGTGCCCTCCGTGTACTGCCGTTAAATGGACCTGTGTGGACGCACTGGAGGTGTAGACCATCTCCGGGCACCAAGGAGGAAAAACGAGTGCCGCAAGGTAAGGGCCGTTTCTGCGCAGGGAACGAGCAGCCGCAGGGCCGCCGCCTCTGACCATCAGGGGCTCGTGGCGGGAGACGCGAGCGCTGGTTCCAGCCGGGGAGGGCGGGCTCGCTCGGCTGAGCGGGGAGGCTGCTGCGTGCTGACTGCGACGCCCAGCCTGCAGGGGCTCGGCCCTCGTGGCGCAGGTGTCCGCGAGCGCTGCTCTCGGCACAGCCGGCCCACCGCAGAGGTGACGCAGCCCTGAGCCCCCACCGGCTGTCAGTCCCCGCTGTGCCCTGCCTGCTGCCCCTCCGCTGTCCTCCACGTGCACCGTCCACGGCCCGCAGGGTCAGGCAGCGCACGGGGCGCTTCCCCAGCACTGGAAGTGTAAGCCCTGAAGACAGCCGCAGGGCACATCCTTGTTTTTTGTACCCCGAGCTGTCCCTTGGGGCGTGGCACCTACGGGAGAGAGTGGTGGGCACCACCTCCGAGGGCTTCCAGGGCCTCTGCAGTAGCCGCTCCTTCGAGGTGGCAGCCGCAGCAGCCCCTCCTTCCTGTCCCAGAGCGGGCAGCCGCTGGGCAGATGCTTTCTCCACGGGCAGCCTTAGCCAGCGCGCTTTTCCCAGATGGCTCGAGTGTGGCTCTTCCTCGGCAGAGACCGGGTTCGGGCCTCTCACTGGGCAGGCCCCGACTCCCGAGTGTGACCCGGCTCCCTGGGGTCGGGGCTGCAGTGTGCACCTGGCCATGAAGGGCGGCTCCTCGGGTCGAGCGGGGTGGGCGCCGCCTGCTGGTGTTGCTCTTCGCCCAGGGTCTGCTTGTCACAGCCGCTGGCTTCTCTGGGATGAGTGGCACAGCGTGCGCCGGGCCGAGCCGGGCGAGGGCTCGAGCTGAGACCTCAGTGACACGCTCCCAGCGGCCGCTGCCCTCCCTCCCGCCCAGGGAAGCGCCGGGTCCGTCTGTAGCACCAGGGCAGGAGGCACGTCTGCCCACAGCTGTCCCCTCAGACATCTGCGGAGCTCAGGCTGCGCGGCTGGGTGGGGAAGCCGCCGGGACCTGGAGACAGGAGGCTGGTGCATCCTCGGGGGCCCCGGGCCCGTCCTGCTGCCGTGTTCCTGCGCCCGCTGGGTCCCCAGGGTGGGGGCGGGGACACAGTCCTGCACTGTGGATTGTTCTTAAACCAGAATGCTGCGCTTCCCGCCCGTTCCAGGGACAGCCTCGCTCCTGTTGCTCAGCGCTGGAAAGCCCGGCCCCGCCCGGGGAGCTGGCGCGGAGTCACTCGGCCGGAGTGCGGTCCCCCACGGGGAAGACAGCCACTGCCATTACAGCCCAGGGCTGTCCCCATCCCGACAGGTGTCCCCGGGCGGACAGCAGGCCACTGGATGCCCCAGGGAAACCTGCCTGCCTGGTGCCCCGAAAGCCCTTTGTGGCCAGCTGCCCGGAGCCGGGGCACAGATGGGCATCGGGACACAGGTGCCCAGGCCACTGGCAACAGGAGCAGATCTGCCCCATCATGTCGGTGAAGAGGACAGCCGTGTCCCTGCTGCTCCTCGCCACCTGAGACGGGGCAAGGCCACCATCACAGGGTGACCGCAGGGGCGCAGCTCGGGGCAGAGCACTTGCTTGCTGGCGCTGGCAACCCAGGGCCTGAGCACCAAGGGAAGGGAGCGAAAGGGGACTCTGGAGGGCATTTTCCCAGCGCCTCCACCCTTCACAGTAGCAAAGCCGTTCCATCTCCAAGGCCTGAGCGCGGGCCGAGGTCAGCGTTCGTGACCGTAACCGGGCCGCGTGGTCCTCAGCAAGCCCCGCCCGTCACACCGGTGACCAGCCTGGGGCCCCTCGGGGTGTCCAGGGATCGTGTGGTCCTTGTCCTGGCCACACAGCCCCTCGCTCAGTGCAGGCCCTGCCCGCCCCGCCCCTGCCTCGGCCTTGGGCCTCTGGCAGCACTTGGGGCTCCCCGTGAGGCCAGGGAGCTAAGGGTGTGTTTGCCCCAATTTCCTGAATATGGACTGCGGGAGGCTGCGCGGGTGAGCAGACAGGACGGGCCTTCGGCTGGGCCAGCAGAGAGGAAGAACCAGGCCTTCGCTGGGCCTGCAGCCTTCGGCCAGGTGACTCCACTGACAGCAGGACCCAGAGCCTGGTACCCGGGTCAGTGTGGTGGTGCTGACCCCTCCCTCCTACAAGGCAGGGGTCATGCTCGGAGGGCCGGAGGGGCCGGAAGGTGGCCACAAGCCACCTAGACGACATCAGAACCCAGCTGCACAGCAGACCTCAAGGCTGGTTACAGAAAAGACCACCCGCCTTACACAGGTTACGCGCCAGAGTAATTCAAGATATATTCAGCTAGGTGTTTTTGTTTTTTCTGGTGCTGGGAATTGAACTCAGGACCTTGCCCTTGCCAGGCAGGTGCGGTACCACTGAGCTATATCCCCGGCCCCTCAACTAAGTGAAAAACTAAAGTAATTTCCTCCTGTTTTTTAAGTTGGTGACGGTGCCACCAGGAACCTGCAGACTTCTTGGCTGGTGTCACCTTCCCACGGTGGCCGACCCAGCTCCTGAGGCGCCTCGAGGCATGCGGAGTTGCTGGGATCCCGAGGCTCTGGCCCAGTCTGCGTCCGTTCGTCCAGCCATGCGTGGGCAGGGCAGAATCAGAGCAGGCACTGTTGCCTTGGGGAGCTGACGGACTCCTGTAGATGCGGAGGGGACAGCTGCTTCCCAGCTCTCCAGAGAGGCTGAGGCGAGGCAGAGGGCACTGCAGTGGTCACCCTGAGTGCAGGCCTGCGGTGTCCGCCTGGAGCTGCGGCAGCGCTCGGGGCCGCAGTCTGTGTCTGGGGCTGGACGTCTGCAGTGCTGCCCACAGCTGTCCTGAGACAGTGTGACTGGCGCCGCTCGGGCCGAAGGACTCAGGCCGCCCATGTTGCGCTTGTGGTCCAGCTACGCACCCACCCGAAGCCCCCACAGCAGCGGCGCCGTCCTGACCCGGTCCCTTTGTGCGCCTGCTGGAGGCCACTGGCACTGGGGCTTCCCCTCCCACAGGAAACCAAGAGCCGCTGGCAAGAAATGCTTCTCTGGAAGTGCCACTAGACAGGGCGACAGTGCCCAGGGCGGTGGTCGGGGAGGTTGTAGGCAGAGCTGGGGGCGCTCTGACCTCCCAGGGAAGTCCCAAGGAACCCAGGCTCCTCGGCCCCACGGCCCTGCGCCTTGACAGAGGTGAGGCCCACAGGCGGCCCCACGCGGCAGTAAGGCCCAGGCCGGGGGTGGACAGACAGGAGGACGCTGGAAACCCCCGCCGCAGCCTGGGACTGGCGTCCTGCCCCGGTGTTGCTGGATTAATGGAAACTGCTTTGTTTGCAGGGCGTATTGTCATCCCCCAGCCAGGACAGTTCTCCGGGCGGCACTGTAGTGTAGCGACCCCGCTGCGGCTCAGACACCTCCTGGGCGCGCCTGGACTGCAGGAGCGACGGCAACGGAGCCAGGAGCTGCGCGGAGCCGGCGGGCGGCCGGCCGGCCGGGCAGTGTGCATGGGCCGGGCCGGGCACCAGGCTGGGTGCCGCTCGCCCGGAGATGCTGCTTCCGTTTCTAACTTGGTCTCTTGAGGCTGCAGTGAAAAATAAGAAACGGAGAGTTCTTGCATTTTACTCTAAAATTCAGTGTACCGAGGTCGCATATATAATACACACACGTACACACAGTGAGAGAGAAAATGTTCCGGGCACAGGAAGTCCTCAGCTGCTGCAACATCCTGCACTGCTCCGACACTGATGCTTTTGTATCTCGGCGGTCAGCGACGCCGGGGACGCACTCGCAAGAGCGTTGCTTTCTGACTCAGATATGTAATTCAGGAAGACAGATGCTGCAATTTTAAAAAAGTATTTGCACTTAAAATAGTTTAATGCTGATAGCGAAAGACTTTAAATATGGACAGAGAGAACCCTGAACCTCACAGGCAGGGCATGAAGAGCCCTTTTTATGTTAGCATTTATTTTAATACAATTATTGTTTCCAATGCAATCAACTGTGTATTACATGTATAAAAAAATGTACTAATGCAGTTGGGGAAACAGATACTTCCCCAGTAATTTTTACTATATAAGAGTGGTATTTCTAATTCACAGAAACATTAATATTAAAACTACCTTGAACACACTAGTCGTCCTATCTTTTGTTAACTCGGCTTAATTGTGGGTGTCACTCTTGCGTGGTGTGGAGTTGTTACCGCTGAGATCATGGCTCACGTGGGAGCACACAGGTGCTCGCCCCTCCACACCCTCCCCAGCCTGTGGCCCGGGGACAGTGTCGTGGGCGCAGGGCCCGTGTTCAGCATGCCGGTGTGTGACAGCCCGGCCCACCCTCTGTGTGGGCCAGCCCCGGCACACTGCGTGGTTTCAGAGCTGAGTGTGAAAGGTGCCGTGTACACAACACTGTGACGTCAGGGCAGGACCACAAGTTCAAGGCCAACCTGAGCAACTTACTGATTTAATGAGACCCAGTCCCAAAAAATAAAGAAAAGCCTGGGAATGTAGCTCAGTGCGAAGGTCCTAGGTTCAATCCCTGGTGCTGTCCCAAAAAAAGGCACACAGCTGGCTCCTTGGAGTTCAGGCCTTGCTTGGTGAGACTGACCCAGTGGGGGCGAACCCACAGCACGTGTGCTGCAGCCATTTATTTCATTGAGGGCTCTAAGAGGTTCTTCCCCACTGGGCCACAGGACGACAGCATTAAGGTGGGGGCTGAAGGAGTCCCAGGCTTTTACATGTGCCAAAGCAGATGTCAAGGAGCACAGGCCTTGACTTGGTTTATCTTCGGTTCCTCTTGGTTCTTAAACTACCCTGCCCCAAGCCCAGGGTGACACCACTCGGAAACTGCTACTGCCTGTGTGGCCTGTCAGAGGGCACTTACATGATGCTGCAGAATCCTAAGATTTGCTGCGTTTTTATGTTTCCTGGTTTTAAGACTGGGTCTGGCTGTGTTGGCCAGGTTAGTCTCAAGCTCATGGGTCCAAGCGATCCTCCTGCCTCAGCTTACTGAGTACCTGGGACTATAGGCATGCCTCACCCTGACTGGTGAAGACTTGCTGTATTTTAAATGAAACAATCAGAATTTGTAAGTCATACACTTCCAGAATAACCTGACAAGTACTAACATACTTTAGGTAGTACGGTGTTTCTGTCACCTTGGGCAAAGCAGTGGTTACACAGAAAACCATGTGTGGGTCTGAAATACCTGGGCAGAGGTTGGCAGGAAGTGCCCTGTGACCCTCCAGTTATCTCCTGCCTCCGTGTTAAAGCACAGTTCCACCAGTTGCGTCCACAGCTGTCACTGGCCCAGCAGCGGGGGCCCAGGACAAGAGGCCTTGGCCAGGCGGCACTGGGATGGCCTCGGGCAGTCCACGCCAACTCACGACTCGTGAGGAAGAGCTGGGGTCTCGGCTCACCTGGGGGGGCTCGGGGTCCACTGCTCTGCCCTCTGCAGTGTGCTGTCCACGCTGCGGGGAGGGAAGAACTGGCTCAGTGCTGGGATCTGGGCCCACAGCACGCTGGGAGGCGTGGGGGCGAGGCTGTGACGTCCGCTCAGCCCAGCCACCCCTACCGTGCCTGCTGCGTGCAGCGTGGCCCGGCTGGGGCCACGGGGGATCCGGGCATCCCACTCGCTCAGCTCTGGGACTGGCACTGGCACTGGGACAGAGCAACACCAGGCCGGGCCCCCACTGCCCTGTGTCCTGCCGCTGCCCGCCGCCGGCCCTGGCGGAGCGGCTGGTGGGGGTCCGGTGCTCAGCAGTCACGGATACTGCTGGCGGAGGCCGTCCCGGAGCTCGGCAGGGGCAGCTCCGTCTCGGGACCTGTCCTCGGCAGGGACGGCGAGGGGGCAGCCGGCTGCGTTTGCCTCCAGCGAGGGCCAGCTGAGTGCCAGTGGTGGCGGAAGCCGAGGTGGCCACAGCCTCGGCCCCCGCTGTGGGGAGGGACGGCGCTGGGGACCGGAGGGGGCGGCGAGCTGGGCAGCAGCACCTGCACACCCCGTGCGCTCCCACCGCGGCAGAGCCTTCGGACGTCCTCGCACGTGTACGCACTGCACGCGCAGCGTTTCCAGGACACACACCCTTGGCCCACACAGCTCCCTGCCGACCCGAAGACCCCAGCCGCCTCAGGCCGCCTCTCCTCTGGCTTTACCGCGGGACTCGGGTCCTGGCCTCCCCGCCAGGGCCTGCCGCAGCTCTCCGGTGAGCTTACAGGAAGCGGGTCCGGCCCCTCCACCCAGCGCGGGGCTGGCGTGTGAGCCTCCTTCTGGTCTGAATCTGCTGGGCCCGGGCCCCCGGCGGCCACAGTCACTCCCCCCGCACCCCCTGCTCGCCAGCGTCCACTCCCACCCCCGACAGGCGGCCTGGACGGGGCCCCAGAGTGAGTGGAAGGAAGGCAGGGCTGCAGGTGTCCTCAGAGGCGACAGCAATGGACACCAGCCTGGGAAGTCAGCGTTTGCTCTCCAACCCTGTCCACTTGGGAAGGGGTAAAAGGGAACTCAATTCTCAGTGGCCTCCCAGCAACAAGGAGATTTGCAGAGGCTGGGGGTGTGGCTCCCCATGCACCCGCACGGCCTAGGTTTGACCTTCAGCACCCCCCAAAAAAGCGGGAGCTCAACAGGGTCTCCAGCCCGCCGTCTCCCACAGCCCTCCCCGCGCGTCCTACAGGGTCTGAGGTGCTGCTTCCCGCGAGCCTGCAGCAAGCAAGGCCTGGAGGCCGCCTGTCTGGGGACACCACACACTGGGCCACCTCCAAGTGGGGCTCACAGGTGCTCTCGGCCCCTCCCAGCGCCGCCCATGGGGACAGGGAGACCCAGGACAGCCGTGTCCCAGCCTGAACGTGTGTTCACGCGGCAGAAGGCAGGGCCCCGACTGCTCACCGAGCCGGGGTCAGGGAGTGGGGCCCTGGGACAGGTTCACGGCGGACGCGCAGCGTGCAGTCTTGTAACGCACTTGTTCTTTAATAGGGATCAGGGTCTCCACCCGTGTCACCCGGTGCCACACGAAAGGCTCAAGTCGAGCGCCACTGTGATCCATCAGCCTGGACCACTCACGTGCGACAGGCTTCTCGGTTTATCTGATTTAATTCATAAAAACTGGCAAACATCCCCTGCCCCAGGTCCTCCTGCTGCGGGAATGACGCGAGACCCGGAGTGCAGCCTTTACAAATGCACCGGGCGGAGGGAGAGGGGGCCCGAGGGGCGGTGGCCCACAGTGCCCGGCGCCCTCTCGAGGCCTCACACAGGGGGGCTGGGCGCGGGCACCAGCAGGACCCAGGCCGCCGCAGGCCTGCCGTGCGCTGCTCAGTACCTCGCGCCCTTCTGGTCAATCGCAGGCAGGCGACACTGCGGCTTGGTGTCCTGCGTGTCCACCTGCAGGAGGGAGTCACAGGTGGAGGTGTGGGCGGCCGCAGCCCTGCCCTGCAGGGCGAGCGGGGACACCACACCCTACCTTCTTGCAGGCGCCCCCGAACTTCAGGGTGCGCAGCGTGGGGCTGGAGTGCGACGGCAGCGAGGTCACCGCTGACAGCTGCAGCCGCGGCAGCTCCGGCAGCTCCGTGGGGCGGGCTGCGCCCTTCCGCCTCCGGGGCGCCTTCTTCTAACAGAATGGGCTCAGGGTCCCTTTGCGCTCTCCCCACAGGTCCGCGCTGCTCTGCGCCGAGGTCCCCCAAGCCCATCCCTGCTGCTCTGGTACCAGGCTGACGACAGCCCTGACATCTTAGGTTTTGTGGCCCATGGAAAGTTTGTGAGCTGGAACTGTACCACTTGCCCTGGCGGCTCTCCACTCGGGCACAGCTGCACCAGGGACACCCGCAGCCCTCTAGGCTGTTCCACGGGGCTGGGAGGGGACAGGCGCCCCAGGGAGGGGCCGAGCCTGGTGTCTGAGGAGGACCCTGGGCAGAGGGAACCGCAGGACATTCTGGGGCGACCAGGGCAGGAGGGGCGGGTGGTGCAGGAGGGGACAAGCAGATGGCAGGGTGCCACGAGGCAAGCGCTGGACACGGTGGGGGGGGCTGCAGCCCACGTGCCCCTCGGGGACGAAGAGACAAGAGCGCTGGAGGGACGCCACCACGGGGGCTCAGGGCCGCCCCAGCAGCAGCGCACACGAGGCCACTGCCAAGCGAATGCCTCACTTCTGAACCAGCAGGTGACAAAACGACACCGCCAGGGTCAGCTCACGGCGGGGGAGGCAGGGCTGCGCGAGGGCGCGCGGCCCCTGCTCAAGTCGTCCAAGGGCACTACCAGGGGCATGTGCAAAGGACCTGGGCACAGGACAGACACCTGCACGTGACCTCCGCCCGGCCACAGGGACTTGTGGCAGGCTCCCCTCCCTGGGCCAACCACATGGGATGCTGGTCGTGGATCCACAGCGCCCAGGGCTCTAACCTGGGGTGGGGACAGTAGGTGGCGCAGTGCTCGGGCCTCAGAGGACAGCCGTGACAGCCCGCTGTGCCACCACCCTCCCCCACGGAGTCCCCAGACACAGGCCTCCTGCTCACTGGTCATGCCTACCTGCTGGCTGCACGCTGGGACCCGCCACTTGTGGCCGAGTGGCTTCAGGTACTCCGGGAAGGTCATGTGGCTTCGGCTGGCCTGGGCCTGCCTCTCAGCTGCCCTGCGAGGACAACACGGTGGCTGCCCCACCACGGCCCCTGGGCCACTGAAGAGAACCTGCCTCTGGGTGAGCAGCTGCCGCACTTCTTCCCACAGGCGACCAGGACCCAGCGTAGAGTCGCACGGCCTGCAGCACCTCCAGGACCAAGCACCACCACGACAGAGGGTAGAATCGCAGGGCCTCAGGCACAGGCCTCTGACACTCGTGTTTGGTGCCAGGGGCACCAGTAGCTCGTACCATGCCCACAGGATGCACCACACACCCAGGCCTCGGAAGCCACACCCACCGCAGCCCTGGCATACCCCCACGCGCCCCTGCCCCCGCGCCACGTAGCCCTGCTCACTGCTGTCGGGAGGGCGCACCGCCACGGTAAGGGCAGGGCCAGTGCTCCAGGCCCAGCCCACAGCCCCACCTGCCCACAGGCCCACACAGCACAGCAGGGGGCCTTACCTCTGCTCCTCAAAGTAGGGGTGCTGCAGGGCCTGGTGGGCAGCAATGCGCTCGTCCGGGTCATACGACACCATAGCGTGCAGGAGGGAGAGGCACTTCGGGGATAAATTGGCTGTCAGGAGAGGAATTCCTGATCCCTTTTTAAAAGGAAAATCAAAACTCATACCTCTCGACCTGCATTGAAAACCCAACAGGAAATGATCATCCGGAGCTGTCACCGTCACCATCCCGCCTCTGAGGGCCCCATGCCCGGGTGAGGCCCTGCCCGTGTGAGCATGATGCCAAGAGCAAGCCCAGGGCGGGCGATGGCGGCGGGGGGTGCCGTTGGGAGGCCAGCGCCCCCAGCTTGCTGCTCACTTGTGCCATGAGCCTAAGACTGCGCTACAAAAACTGCCTCCTTAAAAGGACTGTGGCCAGGGGCAGTGGCGCTCGCCAGTAATCCCAACTACTCAGCAGGCTGAGGCGGGAGGATTACAAGTTCGAGCCCACCCTGGGCAACTTAGCAATTTGGTGAGACCCTGTCTCAAAATAAAATTTAAAAAATGAGGAGGGTGTATGTGGAGTCTCTTATGTTATAAATGCAAGAGAACCACCTCTCCTATAAAAGATTAATATTACCTTCTCATTTGAGAATAAAGCTGAAGAAAAGGAAAAACAACCAAAAAACCCAAGTCCAGAACGGCTGTGATCTGCATCTTCTGGGATCCTGAGACTGCTGGGGGTTTCCCTCGGCCTGCGGAACCCCTCACCTCTGAGTAAAGCAAAACCAGGGTCTACTGAGACATCGACACTCGCCCTAAGCCACGGCCTGTGCCCGGGAGCACCGCCTACCCAAGCACTTCAAGTCCTGTGTGCAATTCTGGGCCCAAAACCCAATTCCCAGGTCCCCAGAGAGATGCCGAGGACCTTCTGTGGTGCTCAGGGAAGAGTGCAGCCCTGCTCTCCTCAAAGACAGGCTTTGGCAGGCATGGCAGTGTACACCTCCAATCCCAGTGCTCTGGAGGCTGAGGCAGGAGGATCCTAAATTCAAGCCCAGGCCAGGCAACTTAGCTACTGGGTGAGACCTTGCCTCAAAATGAAATAAAAAAGGGCTGGGGGTGCAGTTCAGTGCAAAGTCCTGGACTCAACCACACAGGCTGGCTCGGGGCCTGCACAGCCCCTTCGAGGCAGCAGTGAGCCGCTGAGGCCCCCAAGACAGCTCGCCCCCTACCAGGTCTGCCCTCAGGGTCCCAGTGCTTACTGCTTGAACTTGGTCAGGGTCTTCGGAGCAGGTGTGCCAATGACGTCGTGGATTTTTGAGATCTGGTCCAGTTCGCTTGCTCCAGGGAAGAGGGGCTGCAGGCTGGGGGGACAGGGGCAGGCGCCAGCAAGGCCTTCGGGCTTCTCCTAGCTGGCTCCTTCCCCTGCAGCCACCCCGGAGCCCCGCCCCACCCGAGTGCCCTCTGTCCCTGCAGGGATATGCGACGGTGACCACACCCGGTGACTGAGCTGTGTGACCAAGTGCAGGCAGTCAGGTCAGGTCTCGAGGACAGACGTGTGAGAGGTTTTAGACTTGGCTTGGATAAGGAAACGCAGCATGCGCTGTGTCACCAGGCTGAGCTGAAACGCTCTGCTGTGGCCCGGCTGGCACTGAGCCGGCCACAGCCTCCCACAGTGGCAGGAGGGAGAGGACAGCTCGGGCGGACGGCCGAGACCGAGGCGGCCGCGCGGCCCTCGTGCCGAGGTCCCCAGCACCCTTCCTGGCCCACTCCAGGGCTTCGGCGAGTGAACCAGGACTGTCCGCTGATCCCTGGGGCTTCAGCGACGTCCCTCTTGGCTTTACACAGTGACAAGTTATTCACCAAAAGCCGTGAGCCCTAGCATGCACTGGCCGTCTCTGTGGAGCGGCCAGTTGGGCAGCGAGACCGGGTAGCCCTAGGTCCTTGCCTGGGGGCCACGGGGCTGGGCCCACTGCCCGAGGCGCCTTGTCCTCAGCCTGGTGGGCAGAGCCTCTCACAGGCTCCCACGCAGGCCCCATGGAGGTGGCCGGACGCTGCCTCTCCGTTTGGGACCAGTCTGTCCATCTGTCCCTCTCATCACCAAGCCCAACGAGGGATCCACCCAGCATCAGGACCTGCTGGTGCCGGCTCCACGGGCAAAGCAAGCCAGGAAGATGCACAGAACAGTTCACCTGCTGGTTTAAAAACTAGAAGGAGGCGGAATGCCCCGAGCCCGGGGTGCTGAGGCACAGGTGTGGGGCAGCCTCACCCAGGGGCCACGCAGGGCCTGGCCGCACCTGGCGATCTCGTAGAAGACGCAGCCTGCGCTCCACAGGTCCATCTTGGAGGTATAGAAGCCGTCGGTGAGCAGGCACTCAGGGGCCCGGTACCAGCGGGTGGAGATGTACTCGGTGTACGGCGGCCTGGAGTAGACACTGCGGCACGACCCGAAGTCCCCGAGCTTCAGGACGTCCTGCTGCGAGAGAGCAGGGCGAGGGCATCTCAGGCCACAGCCCCCGTCACCCGAGGCAGCCCAGCACGGACACGAGCTCGTGTGGCACACAGCTGGCTGTGAGGGCCCACGCGGGCGTGGGGACACACGTACACTCTGGCTGAGGCAGAGACACCTCCCCACGGCCCATGGGCTTGGAAGGCCATGTCCTGGTGCAGGACCCCACCCGGGCCCCTCAGAGCGTCACCCAGCTCCAAGGCTCCGGCAGCCATGTGGCCTCAGGCAGGTGCAGGGAACGGCGCAGGGCACACTTTCCACGTGGGCAGCACGGCGGCTTCAGAGCGACACACCCTCCCCAGCTGTGGCATCTGACCCTCTCCTGCCTCGATCGTGGCACCTGCCACGTAAGCTCGGGACGGACCGAGGTCCCCTCTGCAGCGTGAGGGGACAGCACACCGCCGGGGGAGAGGTATGCTGCTGACACTTATGACATGAACCTTTTCTAAACTCGGAGGGGAAAAAACCTACCAGAACATGCTTTCCAGTTATCGGGGATTGAAACCTCACCCAGGGGGAAAGGTGTCATGTCCACGGTTAGTCGGTATCAAGTTTTCTGTAAGTGCTTACCTTTATGAGTATGTTTTCCGGCTTCACGTCTCTGTGGAACACCCCGTTTCTGCAGTGGGCACAAAGGGAGAACAGAACCGACTGCACCGCACCGACCGGGTGGCCGGGCCTGCGCTGCTCTCAACACTCTGCCGTCTCCTCCCGAGCCGCCCAGCCGCACCTGTGCATGTGGTCAAGGGCCTTGCACAGCTGGTACATGTAGCGCATGATCTTCTTCTCTGAGAGGGGGCGCCTTCTCCCTGGGCAGTCAAGGGGAGAGGAAATGGGGTCACCGAGGACGCCTACCCTGTCTTGAAATAAAAAATGCGTCCCTTCTTAGTTAACGATACCTGAAAATCTCAAGTCCTGTGAAAAACCACCTGAAGCAGTCCTAGGCACACGGAGTGCCTGACAGAACGTCGCCGAAGCCCGGCACACTGGGGCAGCTTCATCTAAACGCCCACTGCACGCGAGCAGTCGTCATGCAGGCCGGATGCCAGGCCTCCTGTGACTCCTGCAGACCGCACCTTCCCAGGCTTCCCGTCTACATGAGCTCTTTATTTATTTTGAGATAAGGTCTTGCTAGGTTGCCCTGGCTGGTCTCAGACTCCTAGGCTAAAGTGATCCTCTTGCCTCAGCCTCCCAACTGGGGTGCTACAGGCATGTGGCATGGTGGCAAACTGGAGAGCTCCATTTTCAAGGGAAGGGATTATGGTGGACAAAAGTCCCCTGCTTGCTTTGGGTTCCACAGTTCAGGCTATCTCTTCATTTGTTTACTTACTGATTGATTTTCAGACAGGGTTTCACCATGTAGCCCAGGTTGGCTTCAAACGCGTGGTGATCCTCCTGCCTCAGCCTCCCACAGGCTGAGATTATAGACACCCAGCCACGCCATCTCTTTTCACAGCAGCAGACATTAAGCTCAATGCCCACTAAGAGCCCTGCAGCGTCATGCTGTGTGGTGGAGCGGCACGTTTCCCTGACTCGTTATCAGCGCTGTGTGCTCTTAGTTTCATTTCATTTGTTGTAACACCGGGACTGAACCCAGGACCTTCACACTGAGCTGCGTCCCCAGCCCTTTTTAATTTTCTTAATTCAGCCATGCATGGTGGTGCACGCCTATAATCCCAGCACTCAGGAGGCTGAGGCGGGAGGATGGCTCTGAGTTCAAGGCCAGCCTGGGCTATATAGTGAGCCCCTCTCTCTCAAAAAACAAAACAAAACAAAAAACCAAAAAATTACCTTGACAAAAATATCATCTATAATACCAGTAACTGTACAACTTTTGCTGGGTGCAGTAGCACATGCCTCTGCCTCTAGCTCCTCTGAAGGCTCGGACAGGAGGATCACAAGTTCAAGGCCAACCTGCAAAGCTTAGCGAGACCCTGGCTCAGAATACAATAAAAAGAAAAGGGCTGCATACATGGCTGGGGGTGAGCGCTGCTTTCCTGGCAGGAGCCAGGCCCTGGTTCCATCCCCAGCAGTGACAGAAGAACGCCAAGTGAGCACTGTGACAAAGCGGCACGGCCGGGAGGAAATGAAGCCGCAGCTGTGTCACCGCAGCCCATCAGGGCGCTCGTGGGACCTGCGCCCAGGCCTGGAGGTGCCCGCCACACTCTCGGCCACGTGAGGCGCCCTGGACCTGAGCTGAGCAGGCTCCCGCCAGCGCCCCGTGACGGAAGTGCTGCTCTGGAGGGCACAGGGCCAGGCATAAGGGCGGCATGGACCTGGCCACGCTGAGTCCAGCGCCCACAGAAGTGGCAGCATTGCCGGGACATAAAAGTCCACTTCCTTTCATGCGGAGTGCGGTGAAACCAAAGACTGAACAGAACTTTTGATGAGGACGAAATTCACACTGCTAAGGAACAAGGCTTCAAGTCTTAGGCCTGTTGCTAACATGTCCTCTTTCCTGCTAGCACACACAAAAGGTGCACCTGACCCTCAGTGGGTCAGACCTCATGAAATACAAAAATACAACTGAATTACCAGGACTGCAGTGCAGACTTGGAATCCCAGCACCCAGGAGGCTGGGGCAGGAGGGTTCCAAGTTCAAGCCCAGCCTGTGCAACTTAGTGAAATCCTGCCTTAATTTAAAAATGGGTTGTCCATGTAGCTCAGTGTAGGCCCTGGTTCCAGTCCTAGTACCAAAACAAAACCAAGACAACTGAATTTATCTACCATAGCAGTGTCTGCAAATTTACTGTGTTGCCCTGTAATGAGGCATGGCGCATACCTATGCACGGGAATGAGCCGCGGTGCCGCCTGCCAAGGGCAGTCAGACACACTCGCTTTATCTCTTGCGATCTGTTCAAGGCCCAGTACTGTGGCACACTTCGGGCCACCTGCCCCAGCTGCAGCCTAGACTGGTATCACCCGGGGCTCCCATGGCCAGCTGGACACGGACCTTGAGCAGGGGCCTGTGGGCAGGGAGGGGTGTGCGGTACCATGCGGCCTCGCGCCTCACAAGGGCAGCCCAGGGCCCGGCTGGATGCGGGCTGAGGCTCACGGCTCGTCAGCGCGTGGGCTCCAGGTGGCGGGGGCCGGGGCTCTTGTCCCCGCTGTGTCCCCGCACTCTCCTTTCCTGCCGTTGCAGGAGGCCACGTCAGCCTAGCCCTCAGCATCTGCCACCCACTGGACCCCGGGCAGCTCCCCCTGCAGCCCACCTCTTGGCTGCACTGCAGCCCGAGTGCGAAGAGGACACACCTGGGCTGAGGAGAAGACTGCAGAGCCGGGGGGTGAACCTCCGCAGCTTCCAGTGACACACGCGCCCCTGCGGCACCTGCTATGGGCCCTAGAGCGCCACGGCATCCGTCCAGACTGCTTGGAACAAGACAGCAGGTCCAGGGAGTTTACTCCTGAACACAAAAGCCTTGTCTATTGTGACCGCTCTAAACAGCGTTTTTAAAAAGTGCATCGGAGTTGAAGTATGTTGTCCAGGCTGACCTCGAACTTACGACCCTCCTGTCTCAGCCTTCCGGGTGCACCCAGCCTGAATCGGAAATTGTGAGCATTTTAGCCCCTCCTGTGCTTTCTGGACACCAGGGCCCCCCTCTGCTCGGCCTGCAGCTCCCGGCGGTGTTCACAGCCCACTCCCTTCCCGCCCTAACCCGGAGGGTCCCGGGAGAAACAGTGCTGAACCCGAGACGGGCGAATGGGAGCCTGCAGCGGGCCAGGGCGCAAGGCCCGCAGCTTGTATGAACGCGGCCCACCAGCCACAAAGCCAGCGCCCGTCTCCAATAGTGACCCCCAAGTGTTCTGACCAACCTGCAGGCAGTAACTTGGATCCAACTCGCCTCCTCACACTGTTAGTGATGTACGACTGTGTTTTTTTGGTTTTTTTACGACCGCATATTTTAAATCGCATAATGAAATAATTTGCTCTGTGTTCTCTGTGACTTCAATCAACTTCAGCTCCAAAGTATTGCATTTGTGTCTCTGCTGAACATGTTTGTACTCCTCCTCATCACTTCCTAAGCAACACAGTGTAACAACCACTGTTTTTTCAAGACAGGGTCTCAAGGCTGCCCTTGAACTCTGGCAGATCCTCCTGCCTCAGCTTCCCGAGTGCTGGGATCACAGGCGTACACCACCTTGCCTGGCTCTACTCTGCATATTTACTCATCGCCACTGCACGACGGTGACACGCGGTTTCGAGAACTACCACAAAGCATACGGGAACTACGAGCTCCAAGAAGACCTCCGAGAAGCTTCCCAAGTGTTCTACGTACCTCGTATGAGCTCATAAATATTCATGTCCATAAGTTCACATATTAGTGCAAGAGAACCAGATTTCCTGTCACTGAAGAAGAAAGCAGGCTTTTAAAACATTTTTCCTCACCTTAGTCACAAAATATAATCAAATATTTAACTAATTTGTAAACATTTTTGATAAATGTACAATACTCCTACATCAGGCGAAGAAGGTACAATTATGAAACAATGGAGGCTTTTATTTTTAATTAATATTTCAGCTAAAATTAATTTGAAATGCTAGAGGGGTTGGGGACATAGCTCAGTGGCATAAACGCCTGCCTGGCAAGTGCAAGGTCCTGAGTTTGATTCCCGGTACCAAAAAAACAAAAAACAAAAAACACCACAAAAAGAAGAAAAAAATTAAAATAAAATAAAAAATAAAAATAAAATGCTAGAAAAGCCTACTTTAAGCAATATTCTAAAAGCCTTTTTATTTTGTTTTGCTTCTTTTCTTGAGATAAGAACTCACTGTATCATCCAGGATGACCTTGAACCTGTAGCAACCTTCCTGCCTCAGCTTCCTGAGTGCTGGGCATGCAACAAACACACCTGGCTAAAAGTCCTTCTTAAAAGAGGTGTGTTTGAATTGGGCATGGTGATAATCTCAGCACATGGGAGGCTGAGGCCGGAGGATTGCTGTGAGTTTGAGGCCAGCCTGGGCTACAAAGTGAGCTCAAGGCCAGTCTGAACTGCACAGTGAGACCTTGTCTCAAAACGACAAAAAAAAAACAGAGAGAAAGATGCTTGAAAATATAAAATTAACTACCAAAAGAGAGACAAAAAGAGACCTGAGAGTTGGCTAAGCAAAACAAAGGAAGCTGACCTAACTCAGGCCCGGTGGTCGCACATGCAGCTCTCATTTAACTGCATTCCGCCACCCCGGCCAACACAGGGGGCCCCAAACAGGGCCTCCCAGGCTCAGGAGCTGCCGGAAGAAGGCGCCTCAGGGGACAGGCCAGCCTCCGCCTCCTCCTCCTCCTCTTTTTGTAATAGAGACTGAACACAGGATTTAACACTCACTTACATCCCCAGCCCTTCAAAAAACCTTTTAAGTGTAGAGACAAGGTCTCACTGTTTCCCAGGCTGGGCTCCAATTTGTGATGTCCTGCCTCAGCCTCCCGGAGTGCTGGTCTTCTTGACAGGGGTGCAAACCTACTCCACAATCAGACGAGAACGAGAAACGCCCTGCAACGCCGTCAACAGTGAGGAAGGCAAGGGGAGTGCAGTGAGGACAAGGTGGGCCTGTGAGTCACACTCGAGGCTGTGGCAGCCCAGGCATGCGACAGGGGCCGAACCCTGATGATGTCTGCTTCCGGGACATGGGTCACTCACAGGAAGGCTTTGCCCTGGGGATGCAGGCACTGTCCAGATACAGATGGGACAAAAGAAAAAATGAAACCCAGCACAGTGGTACATAACTAAACCCAGCAGCCAGGAGGCTGAGGCAGGAGGATCGCTGGTTGCAAGGCCAGCCTAGGCTGAATGGTGAGTTCAAAGCCTGGCTGGACTACATAGTGAGACTTTGTATTAAAAAACTAAAATAAAATGAAATAAAATAAAATGAAAGTTGTTGCTCGCCAAGCTACAAAGCAGTTATTGAAAGTGTCTACCGTGGTTTTCCTAAAAAGAGATCTTTACTCCTTATCATCAAATCTCCCCATCCAGAGACCCCCGAGCTGCAGGCATACTCACAAGACCACCTCGTGCAGGGTGAGGATGTTCGGATGCGGGTTCAGGCGCCGCAGAGCTTGGATCTCCCGCAGACTGTTCACCTGCTCGACACTGGGGCACAGTGAAAAGACAGCTAACTGACAAAGCAGGCTGGCCTCAGACTCAGGCTCATCAAATCATATCCATCACCCGTCATCAGAATTTTAAAGTTCACAAACTTCAAACCAGTTGGTTAGGTTTCACTTTTCCCACCAGAAATTAAGGTCCATCACTATCTCTACATTATCTTATAAAAACTAAGGCTTTAGTTGTGGTGCTGAGGACTGAGCCCAGGGTCCTCACACTGAGCTACATTCCCAGACCTTTCTTGCATTTTTTATTTTGAGACATGATCTCCTTAAGTCACTAATTTGCCTAGGCTGGGCTTTACCTGAGATCCTCCTGCCTCAGCCTCCTTGAGTGCTGGGATTACACATCACCACAACCAGCTGAAATCAAAATTCTTAAGAGATTACAACACACTTTAAAATCTTCCCCATCCAATAACCTGAAACTATCTTTGGTAGTTTATTTCACATATTGATAAACACAGATACTAAAATACCTGATTAAACTTACCAGTAAGATTAATAATTAAGATTACTCATTAGAATGTATTCACCGGTTTTCAAGAATCAAGCACCTGAGCAATGCTCACCGGGTCTGACCTAAGCATCTCAGTTCTGGGAGCAGAGCTGCCTCATCTTCCTAATGCTCCATCTCCCCGCTGCCGGGGTGCTCCGCAGACACCCGGCTCAGCCCCAAGAAGCCACCCTCTGCAACCACACCTAGCGAGCCGCGCCCCCCACCCCCAGGCGGCCCACACTTAAAGGGACAGAACCACCGGATACTTGGGAGAAACCCTTTTTACTTCAGTAGGCACGATTTGTTTTTTGGTTTTTTGTCTGAGCCAGGGTCTCACTCTGTGGCCCAGGCTGGCCTTGAATTCAAAGTGATCCTCCTGCTTCAGCCTCCTGAATACTGGGCTCACAGGCATGCACCAGCACACCCGGCAGCAGGATTCTGTTCTTTTTTGTTTTGGTTTGGGTTTTTTGGTACCAGGAATTGAACTCAGGGCCTCGTGCTTGCCAGGCAGGCGCTGTGCCACTGAGCTGTGTCCCCAGCCCCTGTTCTCTTAATATGCAGGGGTTCAGCGATTTGTTGAGGTACCCAGAGCACAGCCCAGATACGTTACTGCGCACTACTCCAGTTTTACCTGCAGTCCTTCCTTCTGACACTCAGGTGTTTGTTCAGCCGTCACAGACACTGTGCACACAAGGACCCGGCCCGGACAAGCTCCTGCACCTACAGCCGTGGCTGGGGAGCAGCAGGCGGTGACCTCGCTGCAGAGCCATCCACCAGCGTGGCTGAATATTCGCAGCCGCCTGGGCAACAACAAGAGCCTGGCAGAAGGAAGGGCTGCAGGGGGCGTAAAAGGCCGATGCGCAGCCTCAGTGTCCCTCACGATCCCTCCTGTCAGCCAGGGCTGGGCCAGGGCACACCGCGCAGGAGACAACAGCTGCTGGCCCCGACCGCAAGCCGGGCGACAGTCAGCAACCACAATGGCCAGGCTGCGGCGACAGGGCCAGCTGGGGACCTGCTCAGCTGTCATGCCGCTTGCAGCGCCCTGGCCCACGGCAGGAGGCCAGGAAAGGATACCCGCAGTGCCACGTACTGCACAGTTGCCAAAGTCGCCCCGTGAGGAAACGTCACGTCGGCAGAGCCTGAGGAGCGGGCCCACTGCCGCCCTCCTGGAAAGCCACGGTCCAGTCGGTATTAAACATTCTCAGAAGCTGACAAAATCAGGAAGACAGCTTGATTTACACTGGCGTTCCCAAGCTGCTGCCCCAGGGTCCTTCCCTTGTGATTCTGCTGCCGTCCTGTGGAACTGGGCCCAGCTGATGACGCTGGGAAACAGCTCTTCCGGGGCAGGGAGGAGACACGCTGCGCAGGCAGAGCTGAGTGAAGACTGCATCAAGTCCTGCCCTGGGCGCCTCTGCACTGAAGACAGAGCCCCTGTGACCGTCCCTGGGTCCCCGCTAGGTAGAGGTCACCCAGGCTCCAACGCCTGCCCCCAAGCCTGGTGAGATCACAGACGGGGCAAGGTCACCCCACTGGGTGACCACCAGGCCTCTCCCCACTCAGTGACCATCCGCACCTTTCCCTGTAGCACTCTGTAGGCCAAGGGTCCTCTCCTGGAGAGGATCTGCCCTCCTGGGGACATGTGACAATGTCTGGACACAGGTGCCGCTGCCACAAATGAGGGACTGGGTGGGAGTGGCGGCCCAGGGGCAGAAGCCTGCAGTGAAAAGATGAGGATCTGGGCCACGGCGTCAACAGGCCCAGGCGGGAAGAGCAAAGGCATATCAGAGCTGGCAGGCCTGGTCCTGGTCTCCAGCATGGTCAGCCACATGCCATGTCCCTTTGACACACACCTACTTGTGCCACTGTGATGGAAAACCAGTCACCAGGCCTGGGACATTTCTTGCCTCTGTGCATAGGATTCTTCCGTGTTCCCAGCATTTGCCGAGGATGACGACTGAGACACAGACTCCGAAAGGCATGCTCATCAGGCACTACCAAATGCCAGCCGTAACTACTGACGTAACAGTGCAGGATCAAACTCAACCAACTTGGCCTCTCTTTCACAAATCATGAAAAGGGTAGTGAAAAGCAAAGAAGTAGCCACTCCTACACTGGGTGTCCAGACACTGGATTACAGCAACATGAGGAGAACAGGAGGGAACTGGGGCCCCAGGACCCAAAAGGATCTGAAGTGAGAACTGATGCCCATAGGACAGGAAGAGACCTCAACACGGACGGAGGAGGAGGCAGGCAGCGCTTTCTCCCTGAGCCCTGACTCACCACTTGGGAGAGCAGCTTGAACCTGCACACGCAGGGACTACTGTAACCTGAGGCCTCCACAGGGAAACACAGCAGTAGAACAGGGCAGTGGACACAGCGGACTGCAGGAGCTGCTGAGATATTCGGGTTCAGGCGTCCCCCAAGAGAGGGGGATTGGCCAGGAGCCATCTCGGAGAGGGGCTAACTGAGCTCGGAACTCAGGGCAGCTGCGGGCTCCATCTAGCGGCTCCCAGGGTCAGGGTGAGGGGGAACTGAGTTCAAGTCTGCAGGAGGACAATGAGCCGAGTTCAAGCCAGCAGGAGGCACGCGGGGTGCTGCAGGCTGAACAAATTGGGCTCCAGCCTCACAGCCAGAAACCAGGCTGAACCTCAGTGGTACTAAAGGTACAGGCCGGCTGAGATTATCCACCACACCGCCCTAAAGCTACGGCTGGCTTGCTGGGATTAATCAACACAGATCGGGATCTGTCTGTCCACTCTGTCTACCAGTGACAGCAGAGACATGCCCTGGAGTAGACTTTTTTTTCCTTTCTTTTTTCTCTTGATTGTTCCTATATTATATTAGTGTGGACATGGTTTCTAGTTTTTCGTTGTTGTTGCTTTCTGTTCTGATCGTGTTTGTATTTTGTCCTTCTCTCTTTCCCTCCTGTCTTTTCCACCAAAGTTTGCATAATCTCCTCTATCCTCCAGGCTTCCTTCTAACCTCTTCCTCTTCTGTTTCTTCCCCCTTAGCCACTATAAAATTTTCTCCCCTGAGTGTAAAAGCCCCATAATGATGGCATATTTACTGCATACAATTTCTGGTTTGTTTTAGATTTTGTTAAATACGTAAAAATCAACTTCATACAGTTAAAGGTGGCAAATTAATAGTTACCACAGTTTGTGATTTTAAGCTACATTTGATGCTATTTACTGGTTTTTTTTGTTGGGTTTTTTTGTTTTTTTTCCCATATCGGGAATCAAACTCATGACCTTGTGCTTGTGCCAGGCAGGCACTGTGCTGCTGAGCTAAATCCCCAGCCTCCATTTCTTTTTTTAAATTTTTTTTGTTATTGTTGATTGTACCACTTTAGCTAAGGTGACATAATTGTTCTAACTGGTTGTTCTTCCTGATATGCCTAAGGGTCATAAAAAGTGCTATAGGCCAGTGCTAAAGAATCAGGGGCTGGGCCAAGTAGACAGCAACTTCACATCCAAAATAAACTGAAAAGATAGGATCTTGCAACAAACTCAAAACCCAAAAGCTGGCTACAGCTAGAAGACACCTCTGAGAAGCAGTCATTTCCTAAGGGTTTTATATACTAGCAATAAACCTACTTGCCATAAACAATTTACAGCATCAGCTGAGGAAGTAAACTTTCAAAAATAGAAAATGAAAGACACTTAAGCAAGATGCAACCCAGACTTTCAGCTCCCCAAAGGCAAGCCCAGGGGGCCATGAGGTGGGACAATTCCAAAGCCATTCACCCCAATTCTCTGAAGTGGTAACAGCAAAAGAAACAAAGCAGACAAAGGAGGCTCTAGAAAAAAGTCATGTAAGAAATAATCTCTCAGATAACTACAGAGATGGGGATCACAACGAAAGGTATGTTAGTGACTCTAGCGCAGATGCAGATGAAAAAATAAGAGGGCCTTAGGAAAATGATGGAACCATGAACACCCAACATAGCAGAGAAATGGAACCCATGAAACAGATTCAAACAGATATCCAGGACATTTAAAATTCCACTGACAGTACATGCAGAGAATAAATCAAAGTGAGGACAGAATATCAGATATACAAGACAGGATTACATCTAGTGGCCATTAAAGGAAAGATTCTTAAGAATAGCAAGGGAGGGTTGGGGATGTACCTCAGTGGTACAGTGCTTCTGGCCAAATTCAATTCCTGGTACTAAAAAGAAAAAATAGGTGGGTAGGGATTTAGTTCAGTGGCACAGCACTTGCCTGGCAAGTGCAAGGTTGTGCATTTGATTCCCGGTACCGGAAAAAAAAAAAAAAAAAAAAGGAAAAAAAAAGACCCAAAAAAGCTTCTTAAAAAAATATCAGGGTTAGGGCTGGGGATTTAGCTCAGTGGCACAGCGCCTGCCTGCCAAGCACAAGGTCATGAGTTCGATTCCCAGTACCAGAAAACAAACAAACAAACAAAAAATATCAGGCTGGATGTGGTGGCACATGTCTGTAATCCCAGCACTCAGGAAGCTAAGG